ATGGGTCACACTCAGGAGAATGGTGACACACTCTGGAGAATGGTGCCACAGCCTGGGGAATGGGTGACACACTCAGGAGAATGGTGACACAGCCTGGAGAATGGGTGTGTGCTTCTCAGAGCCGAGTGGCGGTGCAAGAAGTGTAGCTCTCTCTTGAGTAATTTTATCAAACTCAAGTAATGGGTTTTAGCAGGGATGGTGGAGTGTAAGTTGCTGTCTTTAAAGAGTGGTTGAGAAGCTTAAATGAGCTCATAGGGTGGCTCTTGGGGGCACTTCACAAGATTACGATTGGTAAGGTCCAATGGAATCAAATTGAAAACACTAGTATTAGCCCACATACCTACGAACACCTGATTTTTTGACAAAGAAGCTAAAGTTATACAATGGAAAAAAAGGAAGCATCTTCAACAAATGGTGCTGGCATAACTGGATGCTGGCATGTAGAAGACTCCAGATAGATCCATGTCTATCGACATGCACAAAACTTGAATCCAAATGGATCAAAGGCCTCAACATAAATCCAGCCACACTGAACCTGTTAGAAGAGAAAGTGGGAGGCACCCGTGAACGAATTAGTACAGGAGACCGTTTCCTGAACATAACACCAGTAGCACAGACATTGAGATTGACAATTAAAGGGGACTAAGAAGCTTCTGTAAGGCAAAGGACACAGTCAACAAGACAAAAAGGGAGTCCACAGAATGGGAAAAGATATTCACTAACCCCACATCTGACAGAGAGCTGATATTCAAAAAAGAACTCAAGAAGCAAGTCACCAAAACACCAAACAATCTAATTAAAAAGTGGGATACAGAACTAAATAGAGAATTTTCAATAAAGGAGTCTAAAATGGCTGAAAGACACTTAAGAAAGTGCTCAACATCCTTAGCCATCAGGAAAATGCAACTCAAAACAACTCTGAGATACCATCTTACACCAGCCAGAATGGTTAAAATAAAAAACACCAATAACCGTCTGTGCTGGAGAGGATGTGGAGAAAAAGGAACATTCCTCCATTGCTGGTGGGAGAGCAAACTTGTATGACCACTTTGGAAATCAGTATGGCGGTTTCTCAGGAAAATGGGACTCAGTCTACCTCAAGATGCAGCAATTCCACTCCTAGGCATATACCCAAAAGATGAACATTCATACAACAAGGACATATGTTCAACTATGTTCATAGCAGCATTGTTTGTAATAGCCAGAACCTGGAAGCAACCTAGATGCCCCTCAATGGAAGAATGGATGGAGAAAATATGGTACATTTACACAATGGAGTATTACTCTGCGGGAAAATTCCAATGAAGTCTTGAAATTTGCAGGTAAATGGATAGAACTAGAAGAAAACATCCTGAGTGAGGTAACCCAGTCACAAAAAGACAAGCATGGTATGTACTCACTCATGTATGGATATTAGACATAGAGCAAAGGATTACCAGCCTACAATCCAGTCCACACCACCAGAGAAACTAGGAAACAAGGAGGACCCCAAGAGAAAAACACATGGTCCCCTGAAGAAGGGGAAAGGGACAAGAACTCCTGAGCAAATTGGGAGCATGGGGAAGGGGGGAGGGAGAGGAGGGAGATGGAAAGAGGAGAGGGGGAGAAGAACAGAAAGACAGCAGCAACAACAACAACAACAACAAAAAACCAAAATAAAACAATTGGCAAGGTCCCCTAGACACAGGAATATAGGACATCCTACTGCAAACAAAGTTAATGGTCTTTGGAAAAATTTCAGGTGATGTCTAGGGAAAGACATTCAGGCCTTAAGTCTGACACATTGCTATCTGAACATAAAATATCTATATATGAAAAGAATATCAACTGCATGTCTTCAGCCTTTGCAGCAAATGTTAATTAATTACGTAGAAGTTGTGCTTCTTCGCTGGTGAGAGACTTCAATCTGACTTCCAAGTGGGAGGATCTTTTCCCTTCCCATGTCTTCATCATGTTCCCCTCATCTTGCCTCAGCAGGACAGCTGTACCTGCTTAAGTGAGTAACCACATCCCTGGAAAGCCTCCTAGAGCTGTTGACAATTGGCAATAGCACAGCATGAACTGGAGAGTCAGGGGAGAAGCTTGGAAGGCCACAAATATAGGAAGCTCTCTCTATTATCATAAGGATGCTCACAAAAGACTGGCAGACCCTAAGCCAGTATCCCTTATAGTGCTGGCTTATGTATGGGACCAGCTGCTGATGGTTCCCTTCAGATGATGCTATAACAACCCCAGACCAGGCTGTTCTTCTGTAGCTCCCAAAACAAGAAGTTTCCTGGGAAGGGAAATGTGGGAGTTTATGAGGGTTACTGGGTCCAAGACCTCAGATGCTGAGGAGGGCAAAATCCCTGAGGGTCACATCCCCAAACATAGGGTACTGCCTAAGGTTGGGACTGGTATTAAAAAAGACTGGCCCCAACCCCCCACTACCATGTAGACAAGCATCAAGTATCGACTGCAGTGAGACATTGCCAAGAGACAGCCACCATGTGGGAAAAGGATCCTCAGGCAAGTGCGTCACTGAGGGGACCTATGGTGAGGCAGAAGAAGCTCTTTGGAAATTAATTAGCCTCCACTTTAAGCATGGTGTTTCAAGAGAAATTAAAAAATGATCCATGCATGGTAGCCATAGCAACAAAAGATTTTAGCATCAGCAGGCTGCCTAAGACTGTCAAAAAGCCAAACTGAAGGTCTAGCAAAGCAAAGACAGCTTTCAGATACCAAAACCCTCAGTGCCTATTGACAACACAATGTGTAGATTTTAACAAAAACATCACTCAAGGAAGGGGAAACGAAAGAGGTGTCAAGAAACAAGGCACTAAACAGACAAGACTCAGAGTGACAGATGTTGGGACCAGCCGGGAGTGAATTGTTTCTAAACAATTTTTTGATGCTTGAAGATCCAAGTGGGAAAGTGGAAAGCATGTCTGGTGGAGAATTCCAGTAAAAAGACAGACACTTTCAGAATGAATCCAATGACCAGACTAGCAAAGATACATCGTGAACAGCAGGGACTTTGGTGAGGGTGATAGCTCCTTTTATGTCTGATTGACACAAGCTAGAGTTATTTGAGCTTCAGTGGAGAAAAGTCGTCCTACCAAATTGGCTCATGGGCAAGCCTGTGGGCAAGTTTTGTTAATGATTGATGTGAGAGGGTCCAGCTAACAGGGTGGTGGCACCGTTGGGCTTGTGGTCCTGGGTACTGTAAGAAAGCAGGCTGACCAAGCCACGGGAGCCAGTCAGTAAACAGCGCTCCTCCATGGTTTCTGCTTCAGTGTCTGTCTACGGTTCCTGTCCCGAGTTCCCCACCTGACTTTGCTGGGTGATGAACTGTAGCCCTAAGAAGAAATCAACCCTTTCCTCCCCAACTTGCTTTTGGTCATGGTGTTCTATTGCAGCAATAGAAATCCTGTCTGAGACAGAAATTAATAGCTATTGCTGTGATAGGCCTGACCCTGCTTTGCAGAGGATTGTGGAAGGCTTTGGAACGTTGGGACAGAAACGCCATTGAGTGCTCAGAGCTTCATGAGTCATCATGGAAACTGGAGGATTGTGTTTAGAGCAATGCAGGTAAGGGAAGCCTGGCCTTTGAGGTTTCACAGGGAAGTTTGAAATATTCCCTTAAAGAATCTTAGACTGTTCAATATTTTGAACAAAAATCTGGGGTTCTGGTGAGCTGAAGCTAAAGAAGCAGGTGTGGTTAAGAGGCCAACATCTTGCAGGAAAATCTTCAGGGAAGTGTTTCTCACAGCCAGCACTCAGAAGCCGTGGGGCAGGGAGGCCATGGCCGTACCCTGTGCCAGCAGCTTAACTCTATATATCTGAGAACCCCTCAGATGGTCCTGGATTTGAAGGCATGGGGAAGTCACAGAGGTCAGGTTGGCTCCAGGACAGGCCATTGGTGAAGATGCAGCCTCAGTTGCAATCGAAGCCCCAAGTCTGAAGAAGCCATGGAGAGAAGTTGAGGCTTGGTACCATGTAGCAGGGTCAAAGTCCCTGAAGAGATCCCAGGAGAGGCTGTTGAGACCCCAGTAGTTTGGAGATGCCAGTATGGTAGGATGGCCACTGAGAACAACAGCAGCTGTGGAATGCTGGTAACTGGAGCTTGTAAGACAAACTGAGTGAATGGTGGAGCCAGAGAAATACAACTCTCCAAGCCCTTTGGAGTCATAAGGCCATTTGTGAAAGTCATACATTAGACACTGAGTTATTTACACTTTTGGAGATTAGTTTTGCATTATTCATATTGTGTCTGTGCCCTGGTTCTTTCTTACTGGAATAAAAATTTATTTAATCTGCCTTTTGATTTTACAGGAACTCATCCTGGATAGCTTAGAATAACTTTGGAATTTTGCAGAAATTTTGGAATTTTAGAAAGACTTTGCACATTTCTGAAAGACTGGATATTTTAAAAAGACTTTGGGGATTTTTAGAGAGACTGGATATTTAGACCATCTTCTAGTTCTTTATAAAACACACAATAAATTGTCGTAACTACAACCTCTGCTGTGCTGTGGAACTCTAGAACTTCTCCTGTCTATTTTGGCCCGCATTAGCCTCAATATGTTTCTTCTCTTCCCTGATCCCCCTCTCTGGGGACAATTGTTTTAAAACCCTTTACTTCTATCAGATAAACCTTTTAACTTCTACATATGAATGATTACGTGAAGCTTTTGCCTTGCAGTATTTGATTTGTTTCACTTAAGGTAATGGCCTCCAGTTCCATCTACAGTGTAACAAATGACAAGATTCTATTCTTTGTGGACACACAATATTCCACTCTTAAAAAAAATCCATCTGCCTAGTGATAAGTACCATGGTTAAATCCATATCCTAGCCATCAAAGTTTCCTCTGAAACCTCACAAATAAAAAAAACCCCATATGCATTTAATTTTAGAAATATTAATTCTTTTCAATATTTCTGGCTTTTGTATGCGAGGACACCCAAATAACTCCCAGGCAACTCTCTCATACCCCTCCCCCTGTTCTTCTGTTGCAGAAAGCAACCTCAAAAAAGTACTCCCAGTTCAGCACCGATGTGGCCGAGGCCATCGCCTTTTTTGACTCCATCATTGCAGAGCTAGAGACAGAAAAACGGCCAAGGACTGCTGAGGCTGACCTGCCCAACGAGGACGTGGACTTTGATGGTGAGAGCTGGGAAAGGCAGGCGATGTGCTGGGGGGTGGGGCCCTGGGCAGACTCCTGGTATGGAATCAGGGACCACACCTTCCTGACTGAAAGGGACTCCATCACTGTCATGTCAGGCTTGATCCCTTGTCCCAGCTGCCCTTACCGCCCCTGCCCCAGCCTGCACCTGTGCTTGTTTTGTTTTGGTAGGACCTCCTAACGCTCCATGATGGAAAGCAAGAGGGGATGGTTAAAGAGAGAAGCTGTCAATGGGGAATGGTTTCACACAGGGGGAATGTTTCTGTTTTGCAAGACAGAATTCTGAAATATGAATATTTTTAAATACTACCTAATGGTGTATGCAAATTGACTCAAACAGACTGGGCATGATGGTACATACCTATAATTCCAGCACTTAGAAGGGTGAACTAGGAGGCCAGATGAGAGTTTGGAGGGCAGCTTGGGCTATGTAAAGAGACTCTGTTTCAAAATCCATAGCTCAGGGCCCTAATATTTGGCTCATCTATAACTGCTTGCCTCAACAGTATGAGGACCAGAGTTCAATTTCCAGCAGCCAGGCATGTGTGATGGTGTGAGCCCACAATCTCAGTGCTGGGGGGGGCAGAAACTGGAGGACCCCTGGGACTTGCTGTTCACCCAGGCTAGCTGAATCAGTGACCAGGATATCTAGAAACCTGCCTTTAAAAAAATGGCAGGGTGGTGGGAAATTGAGGAGGGCATACTCACCAATACACAGAACAACAGAGCAAAAGCAAAAGCAAAACCTCACGGGTCATAGAAGTATATATTTGATGTGTGGGCACTTTACAAAAGTGTGTCTAAAGGAAAGTAATGGGCAAGTGGTTTGGAAATTCAGCTCTGAGCCTTCTTAAGCTAGCTAAGAAGTAGTATTAGGCACAGCCGAGGTGAGGTGAGGTCAGGGTGTAGGGCCAGGCCCAGACAGCCCCTGGAGAGGGAGGACAGTGGGGTAGGTTTTACTTCTAACCAAAATGTGACTGGTGTCCTGGCAGGCAGGAGAAGTCCCACCCCTTAGGAGCTGAGCTCACTTTTACATTCCATGATTGCTAATATCTTCGTCTTTGACTCCCCGACCCTCAAACTGTGAAATTATCAATGATTTTATTCAGGGTCTCTAGCTCTTGGACAACAATTAATGGTGACTGGTATCAATATTAGGTAATTCCTGAATATTACGTAACACTCACACAAGGCAGGCTCCTGGTTTACTGTTGTTCTGGCTGTGGAAAGCACTGTATTTCCACGATGGCTTCTGTGGCTGCAAAGGGGACACCCACTGAGGGTCCCTTTACCTTACATGCAGCTTTGTGCGCTCCTCATTCCCATGCTGCTTCTGCCCAATGACAGTGGCCTGGAAACCCACTAAAACTGAGGAAAAGATGACAGAACCATAAAGGACATGGGACATCTTAATGGTTATAGCACAAACAATGACTGTCACGAAAGCACCCTGCGTGGAAGGCTGGGAATGTCGCTCAATTGGGAGAGTGCTTGTCTAACATTCACCAGGTCCCGAGTTCCATTCCCAGCACTGCAGGGGCAGGCATGGTGATGATGCATGCAATTGAAGCACTCGGGGGCGTGGGGCAGGTGGCTCAGAAGTCTGAGGTTATTCTTGGCCGCAGAGAGAGTTCAAAGCCAGCCAGGGCTACATGAGGTCTTGTTTTAAAAAGAAAAACCAAACATAAATATAAGAAAGGTCATTGTTCCAGGCATGGTAGTGCACACCTTTAATTCCAGCACTTGAGAGGCAGAGGCAGGCAGATCTCTGTGGGTTTATGTAGAGAGTTCCAGAACAACCAGGACTGCACAGTGAGGCCCTGCCTCAAGAGGAAAAAGGAAAAAGGAAAAAGAAAAGAAAAGACAAAACATAATAGAAGCAAAGGCCAGTGTTGGGTGACTTTTCCTGGGGAGATATACCATAAATGCTTCTACTTAACCTAGAGATTAGGGTCTAGACAGATAACCCATGACTCACCACACCAAGGTCCAAATCGGGGACCAGTGAATTTCAATGGGGTTATTAGCAGGAGTATGAGTGAGGGGTTACTTACAAAGGGCAGGGGTAACTCAAAAGGACCTGCATTGCCAGGAAGCTCACGCTAACACAGGTGACAACTCCTGAGTCCTGACATCCTGCAGGACTCCAAAGCTCCACATCTTTCCCTCTGAAGTTTGGCTGCTCAAAGTCTCCCCCTACCAGCAACTGTTCATAGTTATATAAACTGTAAAAATATGTATAAATTCTAAATGATTTTAATCCTTTCTACAGTGTTGGGTAGGGAACCTCCAGAGTCTCCAAAGTTTTGGTTCTGTCACATTTGACCTTGTGGTAACCTTTTGCTCACCACCGGTGCTGGTGATCACCCCCTTCCACCCCTCCCTCCCGGAAATGTGGAGGGAGGGCTGCAATGGGGAGGAATGAGCCATACAACAGCCAGTGACAGGACTCAGAGGTGAAAACACTTGAGACTGAAAAACTGAATTCAATCAACTCCCAGAGAGAACTGACTCTTGACGGTTGTCCTCTGACACACCCCCTTTCCCCAACAGCACCAATAATCTGTGTTCACGACAAACAAATTAAGCAGACAGCACACCGAAGCATTAAGAGCATGAAGGTGCTAGGAGCCACAGCCCAGCAGTTTCCAGGCAACGTTGCTCTCTCAGAGGACCAGAGCTCGGATTCCAGCTCCCACACCGGGCTCCTGTAATTCTAGCTTCAGGGGATTCAACCCTGTCTTCTGGCCTCTGAGAGTACTCACACTCACACAGGGTCATTACAACTAAAAACTAATTTATAAAAGAAACGGAAAGACAAATGCCATCTGCAGGTCACTACCACTGCCAACGCTCGGGCATGGGACTTTCATAAAGGATTTTCAACACACTCGGGTTTTATTTATATTTTACTTTTAACAAAAATAGCATCTCTTTGAACAACATTGGGGCATCTTTCCAGCATCATTATGTATAGATCAGGGTTCTCTGTAGCGAACACATCTTTCCTTTGCCGTGGACTCCCCACCCATTCCTGCCCTCCTTTATGATCTGCTCCCCTGATAATGGCCAGCTGCCCAGGTCACGTGCTTCTCTCTTCCAGTGGCAACCAGCTCACAGGAGCACAGCTTGCACTCCAACTGGATTCTTCGGGCACCACGCAGACATTCCGAGGCCATCGCTGCTCACGCCACAGCAGACAGCCGGTTTCGAAGAAGCACAGAACACAGGGTCACTGGCACCCAGAGGAGGCTTGAGAGACACCCCATTTACCTACCCAAGGCTGTGGAAGGGGCATTCAACACCCTGAAATTTAAGCCCAAAGCCCACAAAAAAGAGTAAGTGTTTGGACTTAACAGAACCAAGACAATCTCAGTGTGCTTCAGACTGGCCGGGTGCTTCTTAGGGTGGGTTGGTCCCCCACCCCATGTGCAGAGGTTGTTGATTTTATGAGGTGGGCTTGACTGAGATGTTTTCTCCCAGTCTGTATGCCAGCAGCCTGGCTCACTGCTGTCCTCTGTTGATACCTTGCTTCCTCTCTAGGCCAATGCTTACACCGGCTGCATGTCTCTAATGGCAGCTTGGGTTGTTCAGAGTAGAACACCAAGAAGAAAGCAACATTACACTGAGATACTGTTGCCTTGGAAGGCATTGACAGCCTCTGCTCTGCCAGACTTCATGCAGGCCTGGCCCCTGGGGGGACAGAATGACACTGGCTCCTGTGTCTGCTCTGCTGCCAGACACTTCTCTCCCAAGACTGGTTCCCATGGCCAACTCCCACATTCCCCTTGCCTTGTACAGGGCAGCCACTCAGGCCTCACCACAGGATAGACTCCTCGGCTATCCCTTTACCTCTTCACAAGCCGCTCAACTCTGGTGAGTCCAGAGTTTCCTTGAGAGCATTTAACTCCCATAGCAATAAGCCATGTGCTCAACCTTCTCCTTCAAGGCCAGGTCAATGTCCATTGAAATTCACCCACACTCCACTTTAAGGTTCTCCCTAAAGCCCAGAACTGGGGGAACAATGGATGTTCTCAGAAGGAATGGTGCCAATTTGGGTGCCCCTCCCCTCTGTGAGGGCCAGCTTGAGCCTGACTCTCTCCCTCACCCTTCCCTTGCAGCCTGGGGAGCTCCAGACAGATCCTCCGCAGCGTCTCGAGAGAAGACATGGAATGGGATGAGGAACTCTTTGCACACGAGCCCCCGGGATCTTTGCAGGAGGGTCATTTTGAGGCAGAGAATCCCAAAGGGCAATGGCTGATTCGAGAAAGACTCTGGGAGCGGACAGTGCCCTGACTTGACTTGCCTTAGCTTAGGTCTATGACAGGTGGTCTGCTTTGGGACAGTGTGAGGTGTTTGGTAGAGTTAAAAATGAAATTACAAAGTTGTGACACAACCAAACCCCGACACTGCCTGTCAGTGCCCAGCTAGTGCCAAAAAGAGCCCGAGCTTCCCAGGGGATATGTCCTGCAGGATTCAGAGACTGGGCTTCCCACAGCAGTAGACAAGAGAGAAGGAAAGCAGAGGCTGGCTGCTGGTGTCCCAGAGCAGAGGCACAGAGGCCTTCAATGAGTGTCCCTGCCACCCCGTCTTGCCTGTCAAACATAGAAGAAGGTGCGAATGGCTGTGAGAGTTCCGGCTGGAAGTCTCCAAGGAAGTGTCTCAGAAGCCCAATAGTGAAGGTCTGAGGTTGTCTCCTCGCATGCAGAACACAGTCAGAAAGCAGCCCCTCTGCCCTAGGTCTTCTCAGGGTCCTCACAGGCCCTGCTGCTAGGTGAGGCTGAAAATGAGGCCAACATCCAGGCAGTAGGGCAGAGAACGGTGGTGTCATGGCTTGTCTTGTGATCGATCACACTGTTGCCCAGAACTCCTGCACGCAGACCGCTGGCTCAAGGAGGTGGAGGTAGGCTCGTCCTTCTCCTTTCTGTTTCTCACACAAAGCTGTACCCATGAAACCAGCTCATGGTAGGCTCAGCACCTTCTGCTTACAGGTAGCTAGGAAGAATTTTGGTAGCTCAGACATCGTCTGTGACGGGACACTAGCCTACTTGAGCATGGTTCTGGCAGGCCTTGCCATTCCTTCTCCCCCATTCCGTCTTCCTTGCTAAAACCAGTTAGATTGTATTCCAGAAGCTAGCCACCAATGTTTATTCCCTTATTTGGCCATTCCCTACTCCCGAGGCTGGCTACCAAGATCCAGCTGTCAGAAGCCCCTTGGCTCACCTAGTTAATTTACCCAATCATAATTAAACACCTCAGCCTAACATGGAGGTGTTTTTACCCCTTTTTACCTTCATAAAATGCCATTTCCCTGTGTGCCACATCTGTCTCCCCTTTATCCAGAGACAGTCCTTACCCTCCCCAGAACAAATACCCCTGCCTCCTCTCCCTTGTTCCCTTCCCCCCTCTCCTCTGTCTCCTGTCTTTGTCTCTAATTCCCTGCCCTCTGTCCCACTGGGGCAAACAATCTCCTTTGTGGTGAGCACTTGGCCTTGGCGGCCCTGAGCCGATAATTTCCCTTTCAGGCTGACTCTCAGCTTTGTCTCAATTCAGCAGACACTCTTCATTTGGCCATAGAGCTGCCCCCAGTCAAGCTTAAGAGCCACTGGTTACAGAAGACACTACACATTGACCTTCCTCCTTTTTCTTTCACCCAAGTACTAACCAGGAGTCTTAGTTACTTTTCTATTGTCATGATAAGACACCATGACCAAGGTGGCTTATAGAAGAAAGAGCTTAAATTCCAGAGGTTGGGCCCATGACCACCGTGGTAGGGAACAATGGCAGCAGGCGGGCAGGCATGGCGCCGGAGCAATAGCTGAGAGTTCACAGCCACCACAAGGCAGAGCAAGAGCAAGGGCGAGGTGTGTGTGGGGGAACAGAGAACAAGCTCACAAGCTCACAAACTGGGAATAGTTTCTGCTTTCAAAACCTCAAAACTGCCCCCAGTGACATACCTTCTCCAACAAGGCCACACCCATCAATCCTTTCCAAACAGTTCCACCAACCAGGACCCAAGTATTCAAATATATGAGCCTATGGGGGCCGTTCTATTCAACCACCACACAAGGCCTATACCAGCTGAACTTCTGAGAGCCTGAGGTCAGGTACACTGTGTGCATACGTGTGTGCATACGTGTGTGTGTGTGTGTGTGTGTGTGTGTGTGTGTGTGTGTGTGTGTACAGCATGACTTTTCAGGGAGAATGCCCATGAATTTGAGCCTGCCTGGGACAGGGAAGCAGACATAAAAAGAGAAGCACTGTCTAAATCAAGCTAGGATCACTCTAGGCTAAAGGGCGGTGACAACCGCATGAGGGCTTGTGTGGTGTTATTTAAATAGTAACAATAAAAACCCCTCTTTCTGTGATCTCGGATGTCTGAAGCTGAGAATCCTTAACTCTGAAGAGGAGAAATCAACGGCAGCTGTGCAGCAGCTGTAAGAACGTCAAACCGACGCATTTCCCAGGAGAACCCACAGCCACCCTTGGCGTCTTCCTCTTCAGTGTTCTTCAAGTGCCAATGTCAAAGCCAAGGGTGGGGTTCTTTCACTTGTTGCTTGGCCAGAAAAGCAATGTCTGGAGAGCTGTTTAATGGGTGGCTTCCATGCTGTGGACCATCTGCACAGATGTCTTCCCTGAAGGTGACGTTCTTTCTCTGCTACGACACACTCAGGGGTGGGGCTGGGAAGTCCCCTCGGCCTCACCAGGCAACAGTTTATTATGGGCCACTCTGGTGTACCATGGGGAACGAGCTGTGTGAACCTTGTGTCTACAGACAGTAAAGGCAGAAGAATACAGAAGGTGCTCAGAGTCCAGTATGCTTTCTTCATCTCTAGAGTTTCTTCTCCGCAGGACATGAGATTGTGCTGGTTCACTTTGCTTGGGGTTTTGGATGCTTTTGTCTTTAGTAAGACACGACCTGCTTGAAGAGTTCTAAGGGTTGAACTTATGTCTTATGGGGCAGGTTTTCTGTCTTGGAAGTTGGTGGTAAATCCCAGGATCTGGGCTATGGCTCAGGAATCTTGACTAGGAAATACAAGGATTTGAGATAAGTCAAACTGGAAATAATAAAGCCATTTTTGAAAACCAAGATACTTGGACTGCCTCTTGTCCTTCTTGGGGCGACCAACTATTCAAGAGGATTAGATGGTCAAAACTGTCTTAGTTTGGGTTACATGAAGACCTGCAAAGATGGAATGTCAAACAGTGTGTGTGTGTGTGTGTGTGTGTGTGTGTGTGTGATGCCGTAGTCAATGAATTTCTCACCTTGCAAGCATGAAGACATAAGTTGAATCCTTACATCCTATGACAAAATTGTTTTTAAGTAGAACAATGTTTCTAAATGCCAAGTGTGGTGGCACACACTTGTAATCCCAGCCCTGGGAAGCCTAGACAGGTGGATCTTTGGGACCCCAGTAGTCCATTAGCCTATCCTATTGGTGAACCCCAGACCAATGAAAGACTCCCCACTCAGAAAAACAGCAAAGTGGATGGTACCTTTGGTAAGACACTTGAGACTATCCTCTGGCCCTCACACATATGTGTGTGTGTGTGTGTGTGTATGGGTGCATATGTGCAGGTATACACATATGTGGACACATATAAATGAACAAGAAAAAAGGAACAGAAGGAAAGAAAGGAAGGAAGGAAGAAACAAATTTAAAGGAGAATGAGACTTCCTGGCCTTTAGCTACTAGCTTCCCGTCCCCTCCCCCCACCCCCACCCCTTACCCCAGATAAGCCTCCTGTTGATGGGTTACCATGCAGCAATGGAGAACACAGCCATGCAGTGTTAAGCCAGAGTGGATCTAGCAGGCAGGAGGCTGCATTCCCTGCACCGCTAGTGCCTTTTATAGTGATTTGTCTCTTGCTGTTACTAATAATTTATCACAAATTACTATCAAAAATGAGTTATAATTGTAAAATATGTCATCACAAATATAAAAGCATAGAATTCCTACAAGTTTCTTCTTCTAAAGTTTGGAAGTGAGAAAGCCCAAATCAGCCATATTGGTTAAGTGTTGGCAGGCTTGTTCCTTCTAGAGGCCCTCTCTAGACTCTGGGGATGCAAGTATCCTTTGGCTAGTGGCCCTTTCCTTGCATGATCCCAGCCTCTTCCTTCTTCAGAGCTCCAGCTGCTCATTTGGGTCTCTTTCTCTCTTTTATAAGGACATTTTCAGTGATAACAGTTCCTCCCATTTTGATAATTCAGGATACTTGATCCATCTCAAGATCTTCAATCTAATAAAATAACCAGAATCTCTTTTGCCAGGCAACGTCATGCTCTACAGGTTCTGGGCCTGGGTGAGCATCTTTTGGAGCCCTTTCATTTTCAACTATAAATACTCAGCATCATGAGATGGTCTAGTCCTTAAGAACTCGACTTCATCACCACTGACACTAGGTTCTAACAGCGCAGTGACTGACGGAGAAGGCTAATTCTGGCATAGCTGCTGTTTTCAGCTCCCTCTGCCTGCTGCCTTATGTTACGAGGAGATTCTGTCTTCCCAGATGACTTCCGGTTTCAGAAGGACTCCAGCTATGCAGAATCCCTAAGTGGAGGAACATGGGGGTCCCCTTCTGTAAAGAAGAGTGCCGATGCTTTGCATGGGTCGTTATTAAGCTCCACTTTGCAGAATAAGACATGCTTCCTTCCCTTCAGCAGCTGGTGATACAAAGGAGAGATCCGGATGAACCAGGGTTAAACAGTGCCAAGATCCTTCTGCTCTATCCAGAGTCTCTACCTGCCCAGGAAATCCATAAATGTAGAGGGCACATGGACTGGGGGAGGGAAGGGCTTTATGGATGCCTGGAGTTTGAAGGATGGATGTAGACTTCAGCAGAAGGTTGGCATTCGGAAGCCAAAAGATGCTCCCGATGAAGGGGGCCTTCTAACAGGCAGCCATGGAGAGGTCATATTAGAAAGGAGGAGAAATTGAAAGAGAGTTGGTCACATGGAGATAAAGCCTCAAACCATTAACTGGTGCTGAGGCAAGAGGGTGGAGGTGACACAGAACCCTGAGAAGTTGCAGCAGCTGGAGGAAGCGGAGGGAAACCTCCACCTCAGGGATGCTGTGATATTAAGTCAGTCTGGACTGCCCATCATCAGGAGCCCTCTCGGGCCTTCTGTCTGCTCCTGCTTGACTCTGCCTCCTCAGCGTCTCCACCCTCTTTGATCTCTGTCCTCTTTGGAACATGATATTCACCCAAAGTCACTGCCAGATATGGTCAGATGGGACCCCAGGTGGCTCTCTCTATGGTCCGTGTGTGTGTGTGTGTGTGTGTGTGTGTGTGTGTGTGTGTGTGTTAGCCTGCTTCCCCAGTGGCTATCTGCCTCCAGCCAGAGTTGCCACACAAGATGCCAGCATATGGTGGGTATTCTCTTGGGTGGGACCAAGCGCATTGTGTGTTTGTCAATTTATTTGTCATTTGGCAAAAAAATACTGAGCATTGTTCCATCTCATGTTTGGGGTTATAATATAAACAGTGGCCTTCCTGGCATTAGTCCACTGGGAGGGACAGACATTGATGACAGGATTGTGCTAAAATGTGAAGATTAGGATGGCAGCAAAGTGTGCAGAAGGCCCTTGATGTCACCGAAGGTTTGCCACAGCAAAGTCTGCCTTAGTCAGAGGAGGCTGGCTGCAGAAAGCGTTTTCAGAGCCCCTCAAGCTCCAGCCAGCTTGCAGTCACTCCCAGCAGTCACCAGGCTCCAAGCCACCAGCAGGTGTCCTCTAGGCTGTGTTCCTCATGACCTAAGCTGAGTCGACACTCACACAGACACTCCCTGTTTCACTTGGAGCTGCAAAGAGGGAGCGCTTAGTGTGAGCCCTCTCTGTCCTCAGTGCCTGAAACCACACTAATCACAAATTCTTGATGGGTTGGTCTGCAGCTTATCTGATAAGTGCAGTGCTGGTGCTGAAATCTGTGGGCAGCACGAGGCATCCGTGTGTAAAGGGTTTGGGGGCGAGAGAGGGATTCAGGCCAAGGCTGTATCGTGCGTGATCTATGCTGGGGGATATGTGGCACACTTGAGGGAGCTCAGAGCTCAGTTCATGAGATATTTCAGAACAACCAGAGATGCCTAACACTGACTGGAGCGGACCCTGGAGCAGAGCAAGATGGATGTGTGAGCAGCAAGAATTACCATTGGGGTTTCTCGAGGACACATAAGGCCTGCTTGTCTCAAATGTGAATCCAGTATAACTGCAATTCTTTATGGTCATCTTCTTCTTCATCTCCTAAATGTTTCAATTAACATTATGCCTAACTCTGTTGTTATTTTATTTTTATTAAAATATGCATTCATATTGGGCAGTGATGGCACATGCCTTTAATCCCGCTTGGGAGGCAGAGGCAGGCAGATCTCCAAGTTTGAGGCCAGTCTGGACTACAGAGTAAGTTTCAAGATGACTAGCACTACAAGAAAAAGTCCTGCCTCAAAATAAAATAAATATACATTCATTTATACATATGTGTGTTTCCCTGTATGAGTTGATGTATGCTATATATGTGCAGGTGCAGAGGACACTGGGTCCCCTGGAGCTGGAGATATAAGCAGTTGTGAGCCACTTGATGTAGCCACTGGGAATAA